TATCCGCACGCCCACCTTTAAAATGCCGCTAAGACGGCTGATGCGGTGTGGCGAGGTCAGAATTGAAGCCGATTGTAGAGGACAATGCATAAATCATGCGTTCTCTTTACTCCATCTAGGATAGCGACTGCCGGTCCCTACACCACACTACAACTCGTCAAAAAGACAAGCGAGGTCAATCCTCAGTCCAATTGTGCTAAAGATATGCGGTTTCTCTTCTTCTTTTCTTGTTTTATTCACTTATATTATATTCTAGTAACACCCCTTTATTGTGGCCATTTTTTACTCGTTTGTTTAAACCTAGTTCTGGTGTGTACTTCTAAGCGGATTTCGTGAAACCTATTTACACTCCTCTCTGGCTTCTTAATTGCACCCCTTGTTCAAGGGTATGCTGATCCGAGTCTGACCTAATAGTCTGCAATCCTCTTTTCCTAGGTCCCACCAGTCGCCTTTCTGCTCCGTAGGATCAGTCTCCTATTTCCCTGGTTCAGGAATTTGGCTCCAACAGTACCACCATATCTGTGCTACTCGAGGCGTTATTTCCTACAAACCGCACCTGATAGCACGTGTACTCACAACTTGCTAAACAGGCTCTCAAATTCTCGATTATCAAGCTGGATGGGTTACTTGAGACTGTAGATCACTTTATCACATTTCGACACGTACAGAGTAGTACTCATGATCAAGCCTTCACTACACGTCCCTTTTGCGCCAACCTCTAAATGTCGTGTTTATACTTTTTTCGATTAGGCTCACTGTAAACGTCTTTTCTAGTTTTTTATCGTTCTCTGGCCCCCTGCAACTTCTCTTCCTCATGTACAGAATATTTAATTGGCCGAGTCGTCACCTTTTTGCTGATCTTGTAGTTCCTGGATTTTCAACGAGTTTGCTTATGCGACATGCCAGGTTTTCCTTAATCCTGCCTTCTTCAAGTCTCATGTTCATTAGATTTCTTACAGTCACGATACCGATGATCTCTTGGATCTTGAGTTTTATTGTATTTTCATCATATACAGCTAGCGCTTTATCGATTTAGTGTCCCGTCCGTGCAATATGTTCCGCTATTTCGGATCTTTCTGAATTCCTAATTCTGCTGCCTTTGATGTCCTTCGATTCGTAGGCTGATTTTTCTTCTTGGTTCACCAATATACCTCTGCTCACAGTTGCCGCATTTTGTGATAAACTCCCGAGCAATCCATTTTCTCAACCTCCAGGTGTCGCGTCAGCAGGCAGATCAAGTGTTGTCTTCTCCTTTATTAAGACCTTGATATTCCATTGTCTTAGTAACGGTAACCATAACTGCTTAGCAGACAATAGGTTAAAGGATTGGCTTCGCGCAGCTCTTTGATGAGTTGTATTGTGGCGCTAAAAATGACAAGGCTTACTGACGATGACGACGGAACGTTTGACAATGTACCAAGTCCCCAGTCCGACTGGAAATTATTATGCAACCTATGGGCTCCTCTAAGTCTTCCTACCAATATGACCAAATTGTGAAAACATGACCAAACAACTTTTATATAACAAAGGAAACCATTACCATACTGAAGACCAGACCAACTTGGTCCTCATTATTTTGATTAAGCAATGCAAAATGGTAATTAAGCCATAATGAAATCACTAATTATCTTGATAGCAAATCGGATCTATTTCCCGTTTCATGTAGTCAATCCGTTCTTGTACTCAAATGGTAAATATTCCTATTTAGTCCATCGTGTAAGCCCTCGCAATTGCATGGCTAATACCAAGTCATGATAGCACCCTTAAATTCCTTCTTCTCATGTGTAAAAATAACTAAACCGAGCCTCTGTAACTAATTCCTTGTATTTAGAATAATATACACCCTAAATGGCAAATTAAGAAAGACGAGAGTATATGATTGTCATGAAAGATAAATAGCATTAGTATGGTCGATGAAGAAACGCCGGGCCTAAAAGAATATTAGACAATAACACCTACTGCTCGCATTAAGTAAGTAGTAGTAACAAAATTAAAGGAAAGAAAACTTATACGGGACTTATCGTCCGATATTCATAACCCCGCCCTGCCATGGAGGCATTCTGCAAGATGTCAACAAAAGGGCCCGTATTACACCCAGTAAGTGAGTTATTATCAGGGCTGAATTACAGCTGCAACATCAGGATCAGTGCTCGGTTGGCTGGCAAAGCTAACCTCGATCCCTTCGGTCCGGAACATAAGAAAGTATAAAGGTTCTCATATAATCTTATAACCTTTCGTTCCTTCATAAGCATCGTCCATAGAACTATAAAACCCAAATAAAAAAGACGCTTTGCTAGTAAAAGCGAGAAGCTGAAGAACCTTAAGGCTGAGTGTTCGATGTATTCAGGTAGACTTCTAAGACATAAGTGCAAAGGGTATAGAGCAGAATTTTTCGTTTTATTTATTCCTAGAAATTCAAAAAGCAAATCCGCATTCAATGAAATGGAACTGGAAGAAGACTTTTTGTGGAAGGTCGTGAAGAAATGTACAAAGAAGATAATAAGAAAAACCGAAATAATAGCATCTTAGGTTGAGGCAAGGCAAAAATACGAGCAAAATCAAAGTCCAATCGAGCATCGGTAAGATAACTTTTGTGGATAACTTCCAATCAACAGGGATAAGCGCAGGAATCAAAGAGGAATTTAAAATCCTATTATTTCTGTTATCTTCGAATTTGTAGGGTAAGAGAAGACAGAATGTGTTTTGATCAAAAATTGAAAGGAGAGTCAAAATGCAAGCAAAGCATTACAAAAGAGTATCAAAGTCAATTGATGCTAAGGATTTATTTCCATTGTCGTACAGCCCAATGGGTGTTAAGAAGTTTAAATGCAACAGAGCAGATTGCTTAACCGAATTAGCAACAAATATTCCCGATTTGTCAGAGGCTGAATAAACAAAAATGGGAATCTAATGATGATCCCAGAAACTGCACGGAGCAGGAGCTGCAATAATAATAAAAGCATGAAGCTGTAAGCCAATTGGAATGGATAGAGAAAGCTGAAAAAGAGAGCAATCTAGGAGACTGTATTAAATTATGGGTTGGGGAAAGCAAAACCGGCTGATGATCTGTGTAAGTGGAATGATTGGTCAATTAAGTGCCCCAAGAATCTGCAACATTGCGAAGCTTAAGGTAGCAAAATCGTGATTGACAAGCAGACGAGCAAGAGTGAATGAATTATAGCGCAATCCAAGAAAAAAGAAAATGATGTAGTGGGAAGATTAAGCGATCACAGCAGAAATGCTGATGATGGATGAAAGTTCAGAAGCAGAAAGACGCTAATAAGTCTCCTAGAATGGAAGAGTAGCTACCGTTGCGTAGATTCACAGCCACCGAGCCCATGGTGATTGGTGGCAATAATTTGGCCACCATGTATTCCCGAGGCCTCTGTTCTGGAGGGTGGTTTTTGGCAGCCGCGCTGCCGACGCTGACGGCGCTGCCGACGGCCAGACGCTGACATCAGACCACAGACAGTAGTTTGTCGGCCACCAGCACACTCTACATCGCACCCAACGTTGCCAGAAGTATCTGGCTGGTCAGAAAGCTTTTTTCCCAATGCAAGGGTTAAGGGTTGAGCTGCAGCAGGATTTGAGGTGAATGGCTCATCTGGCAACCTGCTGGGGGGCTGAATTAAAAGTAAGAGTGATAAGTGAATTCTCAGAGGACATAAATGACATTAAATGACCAGAACAATGAGGCGATGAGATTATCCACAAAGTTAATTCAGATTTATTGACCCTATTTCGCTTAAGGAGATGAGGTATTAGTAGTTGAATTTTCCCACTGTCCTATGAATTGCACATATCCTTGCTTTCCCAAAATGTGTTCTCTTTCAGAATGGACTGCAGTATTGACCTTGTATATGTCCTAACAACACTCCCAGCGGGAGTCGAACCATGACAGTGAATCGGGTAATCTCGGTACGTTGATAAGACCTAGGCGAGGTTCAAACTGAAGTCCACCCTGAATTAGAACACATTTTGAAAAAGCAGTTATGTGAAATTTAATGAAAACATCAGCTCTATTCATAAGACAGTGGAAAAATTCAACTACCAGTCCTTCATGATTTAAACGAAATAGGGTGAATACATCTCATATAACTAATTTAGTGGTAGTCTCGAAACCCTACTTATAAATAAAAATATACACAAAGTTCTCTGCTCCGAATAATTGATGGAGATAAAGCAATAAAAACATTGCAGTTTTCAAGCAGATCAAACTATGAAGAATGACCATAATAAAAAGGAATTCCTAACTAAAATATTATGGAATGACCAAGTTATGAGATCGCATAAATCATATATATTTTAGATATGAAGACTAAGCTGGTATGGCATTCTGTTTTGCCGCAGTCTCCTTTAGCTTTATAATTTTGGTTTGATCTCGTATTCGAAAATATGGTCGGAGCGTCAGGAAGACTTTGAGGAACATACCTAGTCCTGTGTCATCTCCAATATCGGATCATTGACTTGGTACAGTCTTAAGTGTTTCGCGGGTATCGTCAGTGAGAGACGCCATCGTCAGCACAGAGTTACAACGTATCAAAGTGACAAGTAAAGACAATCCTTTTAACAATTTTTGTTCAACCAGTGTGGCATCAGTCGACTTTATTTTTTGTTCTAGCTACTAGTGCTGCATCTATATCTCTCAACTCCACTTCATATGGTC